CTCGCAAGTACTAGGAAGCAATGATTGATGGAGGTACCCGGTCGGGGTGCCAGGCGGTCCGTCACAGCTACTAAATTGGCTCATGGATTGCAGGATAAAACTTACCAGGAAAGGTTAAAGGATCTTAACATGTATAGCTTGGAAGAAAGATGAGACAGAGGGGATATGATAGAAACATTTAAATACATAAAGGGAATCAACACAGTAAAGGAGGAGACTATATTTAAAAGAAAAAACACTACCACAACAAGAGGACATAGTCTTAAATTAGAGGGGCAAATGTTTAAAAATAATTTCAGTAAGTATTACTTTACAGAGAGGGTAGTGGACGCATGGAAAAGCCCTCCAGCTGAAGTGGTAGAGGTTAATATAGTGATGGAGTTTAAGCGTGCGTGGGATAGGCTCAAGGCTATCCTAGACTTAAGATAAGGCCAGGGAGTAATGATGGTTCTAATCTGCCATCACATTCTATGTTTCTATGTTTCTAATTCTACTATAACACTATGAAGCAATGAAGAGCCTCTGTGGACTTTAGGGATCAGGATTGCCCAACCAGTCCAAAGGAGGGATGAGTACGGGCAACAAAGAAAGTATGTGTGTGAGTACTGTCCTATTTTGATTAGGGGAGCAGCTGCCTCTTCCATGCATCAAGAGTACTAATCGAGCTTCCCTTTTTGAAAAAGTAATTGTTAAAGCTGAAATAACATATTAACAGTTGTTGTTTTTTCTAACAAATGTAAGTCTATTGGTTATACATATATAACATATATCTACATAACATCAAAAGAAAATGACACTCAGAGGACATATTTGTTGTTTATGGAAATTGAATAAATACAGCATTCACATGCTTGTAACAAGTCCTGTGAGCACCAGTTTTCTTTGGATTTTATGGAGCTATAAAATATTATATTCTTATATTAGCGAACCCAGACAACATATATTAAAGTTTGCATGTAATAGTGAGTATACATGGGTATCCGCAGGAATTTTTCCAGGGTGGGGAGGGAATAATTGTAATGACATTCATGCTTGGTCCCTTTTTGACAGTGTCATGAAGGGAGGAGCATAGTCATTATTACATAAAGCCAGGGTGAATAGTGTTTTCACAACTATGGTGTCAAGAATACATGTTTGTATTCCTGACACTATAGTGTTCCTTTATGCAAATTAAAGGAACATTCTGGTCACCATAACAACTTCATCTAAATGAAAATGCTATGATGCCAGGAAGCCCATAGGTGCTCTCTTTCCTTTAAGGGTTTAAACTGCTCTCAAATGATTTAACCCCAAAGGCTTCCTCCAGCTCCAGATTTCCGGGTCGCTCAGTGGTATTCGGCTTCCGAAACGGAGTGTCAGGAAGTGCAGATTGACGTCAGGCATGGGTGCTACAGATTGGCTAGAGTGGTCAGTTGACGCTCTAAGCCAATCGCTAGTTCCCGGTTCATAAAAATGTTTTACTTTTTTATGAATGGGGAGCTACTGATTGGCTTTGAGTGCCAGCTGACCGCTCTAGCTAATCAGCGACACCCCTCCCCAGCGGCCCTCTGTGCTTCCTGACACTCAGTAAATAAAATTGAACACATTAACACTGATATTTTTTTTACCTGGGGAGATGAGAAGGTCCAAAGTTTCCCTGCCAGGCCCAGGTACCAAAGCCTTATGATGTGGTGTCAAGAATAAAGTGGAGGGTTCACTTCACTTGTCCTTCCTGCTCCAAACTCCTTTTCTTCTCTTTCATTTGACACAGTCTTCTTTTTCTTCTGACACTGTCTTCTCTCCTCCTTGGGTCCTTCACCTTTCTGCTACTTTCTGCTTATTGTGCTCCCCATTCTGCTCCTTTCTCTTTCTGATCCCTTTCTGCTCCTTGCTGTCCCTTTCTGCTCTTTCTCCTACTTTACCTTTGTGCTCCTTCTGATTCTTTCTGCTCCTTTACCTTTGTGCTCCTTCTGTCCCTTTCTGCTCTTTGCAGACCCTTTCTTCTCCTTGCAGACCCTTCCTACTCTACGCTGCCCCTTGTAGACAATTCCTGCTCATTTCTGTTCCTTCTTCTACTTCACCTTTGTGCTCCTTCCGTCCCTTCCTGCTCCTTGCTGCCATTTTCAGCTCCTTGACCCTTTCTGCTCCTTCTACTTTACCTTTGTGCTGCTTTACCTTCCAGCTCCTTGCTGACACTTCCTGCTCCTTGACGACCCTTCCTTCTCCTTGTTTACCCTTCCTGCTCCTTGCAGACCCTTCCTTCTCCTTGTTGACCCTTCGTGCTCCTTGCAGACCCTTCCTTCTCCTTGTTGACCCTTCGTGCTCCTTGCAGACCCTTCCTTCTCCTTGTTTACCCCTTCTGCTCCTTGCTGCCCTTTCTGCTCATTTGTGTTCCTTTGTGCTCCTTCTCCTACTTTACCTGTTGTGCTCCTTGCTGTCCCTTCCAGCTCCTTGCTGCCCCTTTCTGCTCATTTCTATTCCTTCTCCTTTCTGCTCCTTCCTTCTCCTTTCTGCTCCTTCTCTTACTTTACTTTCCTGGTCCTTGCTGACCCTTCCTGTAGGCTGTCTCCCCATCCCTTACTTACCTGATCTATAGTCTGTCTCCCCCCCATGCCTCACTTCACTGATCTGTAGGCTATCTCTGCCCCATGCCTCACTTCACTGATCTGTAGGCTATCTCTGCCCAAGCCTCCTTCCGCTGATCTGTAGGCCTCTGCCCCCCCACTGATCCTGTCTTGCTGATCTGTAGGCTATCTCTGCCTCCCCCATGCCTCATCTGCTCTGCCTGACTTCACTGATCTGTAGGCTATCTCCTGCCCCCCCATGCCTCACTTCACTGATCTGTAGGCTATCTCTGCCCCCATGCCTCACTTCACTGATCTGTAGGCTATCTCTGCCCCCCATGCCTCACTCCCCTGATGTATTTTCAATCTCACATGAAAATTAGCAGAAGAAGCTGAAAAATCGGGGGGTGGGGGGGGGGTGGGGGGGGGGAGAGGTATCTGTGTATATAGATATAGACACACACACAAAGGGGAGCAAAAAAATGTGAATAAAACAAATAATTGTAAAAATAAATAAATATAAATACATTATTTTGATCTAAATTTCAGTTCCTCTAGATAAATTGTCTGTGTGCTTTATAAGAGATAATTACTATAATTTGGCCATATAACATGCTGTATAGGACATTTCTAAGAAATAGCTGGTAATGTTATTCTGCCACAAAATGTTCCAAACAAATGTTATGTTATGTACAGCTATTGGCAATTTCACTAGGCGGGAGAACCAGAGAATGCATCTGAATTTAAAAGGGTTTTCCAATGGTTTTCTTTTTTGGAACATTAATGAAGTTTGAAACTGTATGTTAAACAATGCCAGATTCATGTTTTAAAATCCCCAAAGGGAATGTAGGACACTGCTCCCTTATCCTCTTATTAACCTCTTCCCCAAATGGGCCTTTTGACAGACTTAAGCTTGTGTGGTCTGTGATACAAAATTATAAATTTGTGTCCCGCTGGGAAACTATTTTTTTTTTTTTGTCATGGGAATTGAAACTTTTTTTTTTGTTATTAACAGTATGAAAATACAAAAGGTTAATGTGATATCCTCTCACAGGAAGTCATTGGAGTGAGACATTGTGTGGGAAAAATAAACAGATTTTATTGGCCTCTGCATTTGGTATTATTCACATATATTGAATAATACTAAATAACATTTTAATATTTTCACATTGGGAGAGATCTTAAAACAAAGCATATTATTCACCCAAATATAATTCACGTTGATTTTATTGAAATACAGATATTTAATTAATGTCTACATCATGATATGGTGTAAAATTATTTCTCCATTTTCTGTTAGCAAGCTCTTTTGGAACATTATATATATTTTATAATATAGAAGGGGACAAGCTCCACACAAGCCTTCATTCCACCGGTGATAATTGAAAATATGACATGTTAATTGGAAATCTGGTAAAGGATTAGTTTGGATGTTCCCATAGCAGTGGCCAGAAACCCAATCTTTCCGAGCCTGAGCTCTTGCGTAAACCAACATAAGAAGTCCACTGACCCCCTCACACGTGGAGTTAGGGCCATGATCATGTGACCGGTGCGGGCGGTAGTCTGGGTTCTCTGCCCACAGGGAGAGCTAGGGACCGAGGGATCCACCATGACCAGTTCAACATTAAAAAGGGTAAGCTGGGACTTGCAACTAGATACTTTGAGCCAGAATGTTGTGCAGGTGGCATCAAATTTAGCCGAGAAGGATTCTTCCCACTTCCACTCCGTTTCCCGAGCTACGAAGTGCAGTAAAGTGGGTGATGCAGCCATCGTGGTTCTACCACAATGTCACAATGAACTTGTGGACGGGGTAATGTACTAAAGGTAGGTGAAGCTTCCCTAGTGGGGACCTGGATAACCTCCACTGGATAACGGGGCTCCTAGTGGACGCAATATTCAGCCCCCTTTAAGCTGGGAGAGCAGCCATTTCTCATGTCCACAGAGGAAGCCAGCATGCTATGCCTCAGTCGCTCACATTGCTATAATCCTCAGACAGGTATAATCTTGTCTTCTTACAATGGTGCATGTCTAGTCAGGGGCAGACTGACCACTCAGGCAGATTGATCATGGACTGCGGGCCAGAGACAATCAGGAGCCATGTTGAACAATCATGCTCTGGCAAAAGAGATTAGAGATCTCCATAGCCAGAAAAAATAATTTGTGACATATTGCAGCAATAGGTTGCAGGGCCCCTGCAACCTATCGCACTGTAGGTACCACCTCTCCTTCCCTTCTCAGTATTTTGTGAGAGTTCTTGCTGTCAGGTCTCCTCCTCAAGTGCGGTGCTCTCTCTGTGAGGAGGAAGAGGAAGGTCGGAGGTTGTAGAAGTGTCATCACTTCCTGCCCTCTCTTGTAGAACAGCTGGCAGTTGTGGAGATATCGAGCAACAGCCTGGTAGACAGTACATAAAGCTCCTTGTAGATATTTTGTACTGCCAAAATGTCTCCCTGCACCAACATATTCTGCAGCACTGTAGAATATATAAAACAAGACGATTAATTCTGATAAGTTGACATACAGGAACACAACATCACAAGCAGCATCCCACACAAGCAACCCCACAAGTACTTGTAAGATTGCCCATGTGAGGGGCTCTGCTTGTGATGTCATCTGTGGTGGAAGTATGTAATAAAATTTGCTTTATTTCTTTATTTTTTAATTTTAATGGGGGGGGAGGCCGGCCAGCAAGGGTTATTCCATCTAAAAATAGCATTTTATTAAAACACTGTTTCTGGTTGGATTAACCCCTTAAAACTAAATTTGGTGTGAATTTGGTGTGACTCTCACATAATAATTCAGGGCGCACATATCTGTCTGAGAGACACACAAAGAAGGGGGAGAAGAGTAGTGGTGGCCAAATAAACTTGCATCATAATGGTGCATCTTGATCTCCTATTGACCGAGGGCCCTGTGAGTTGCCAGTCTGCCCCTGCATTTAGTAATTTTCAATGCATCTCTTTCACTCTTGAAATCCGAGGTTAATGTTGCCTTGAATCGTCCAGCTCGGGCAGGTATTGTGGTTTTAGTTTTCCCTTGATATAGGAGATTGAGGGGAGTTCTACTAAATATCGATTTAGCTAGTCTCAGTCCTTAGGTATTTATCTATCCCCCATTGATCCCACATCATCATTGATGTGGATGTGGAGGGATGGCAGCAAAAGGTATTTTAGCAAGTATGGAGCTAACGCCATTAGCTTGTCTTTTTAAACATGATGTGGGAATCAAATTTATGTTGATAAAGCACCTACATAGATGTTATACGCATTGAGGATCACTGTCTAGGATCTTCGGGTTCTCCCTCCTCCTCCTTTTATGCCATGCGAAGATATTTTAAGTCTTGGAAATGTTGTTATCTTTGCATTATACTCTGGTGGATTGATGTTGTGTTTGCACTATTCCTATTAAACTGGCACAGAAAGGAATGTTCCTTTACTTTTTAATACATTTACCTGAGTGTGGTGTACATACTTTATATACATTTGTAAGAGTCTTTTAATCATTTATTATTTTTGTCTTATTGAGTGTGTCTTCATTGTGTGAGTGAATAAATCTGTTGAAGTTTGGAGCAGTGATTGCCTGGGTTTGGGAACTAGTAACACAAGTAACACAAGGACAGTTTACTAGTGCTAGTATATAAACTCTATGGAATTTGAGTGGATGGTGATACTATTTAATCTTGCTATACAATAATACATAATATACCAAATATTGATTTAGACTGACTGTGCTAATATTGTTACTTTTTTATTTTACATGTACAAAATCTGGAGAATGTTGTTTTTACATGAAGCAATCTACTGGCTATAAGGATAAGTAAACCGAGAACACTGTTGTTTCTAAGTGGTGCACACAAATATTTTTTATTATTGTAATATATATATACATATATATATATATATATTTTTTTGTCTATATTGAAGCTCTGCTACACTTATTTCTTTGTTCACTAGTATCATGTTGGCCAACTTGCATTTCGTGTGGCAGAGACTGTGCTTTGAAATGCTGTCCAAACTAACATCCATATTTAGATTGATGACAAACAAATATTTTAAGTAAACATCTAAAAGCAAAATTCCCAAAATCTTCAAAATTCCCATAATTCTTTCACAAACCCTAAAGGTATTCTAAAGAGGTGGTTAATTTTTTTTTTTAACCATGCAACATTAGGAAGCAAGCCCAGGGCACAAAACTAGATTTGCATCCACAGGGGAAGAAAGAGGACATTTTGAGTATTAGCACACCAGCTAAAACTAAAAACTGGTTAACTTGACACATTCTTCTTGGAATGAACATCAATTAGTGTTTTTGAAAAGGGTCTCTTATTTGTGCCTTTGATAAATTTACACGGACCAAAAATTTGTACACTTTTGCTTGCAAACTTGCATTGCACAAATATCACCAACTTAGCATTGAAAGGAAACCTTAATTGTGTGGGTTTCAACAAAGGGATAATAAGTGCAGTCAGGTCTTACTGAAACCTCGGTATGAAAATGAGGGGTGACTCATTTCAATCAGACAGACTTTTTGCCTTTTTAAAAAGCCATTTTACTCTGGGCTTTAACAATTTTCATAATATCAAGTTGTTCATTGATGCAGTTGGTAGAGAAATTTTAAATGTTAATACTGACTGCATCAATGTATGTCATAATAAAAATCTGCCTAAAAAAACAACACCATGCTTTAATTACATTAAAATGGACAAAGAAATATCTATTAAATCAGCAAATAAACTTGACAACATTGTTGTAAAGAAAACTAGCAAATATGTCAACATGATCCATAAAGTACCTGACGATAGAGATACAAATAAAATATTAAAATCAGAATCTACCAATTAATTTTTAGCACAACACAAAGGGATCTTGGATAAGGGATTGAGTGTAAGGTTTCTATAAAGGGATAAATACAAATTCATCTTCAGTAGGCACCCCGAATAGCAACCTTATACTGCCTTCCCAAGATACATAACAGCTTGAATAAACCATCTGCTCGTCCACTTGTACCTGGCTCTGATAACTTAACACAGAATAAAAAAGTATTTATGTTGATAAGATTCTTAGAACCTTAGTTCAGACACTGCCATCTTATATTCAAAACACTAAACAAACCTTTTTTTCAAATATACAGCTGCCTGAGTTGGCAACCTTGTAGTCTGGATGTCGAATCTCTCTATTCCTCTGTACCACACTCCTACATCGTATAGGAGGAGTAGGTTCTCGAAGCATACTTAATCAGGGCCGTCTTTAACACAGGGCAAACGGGGCAGCTGCCCTGGGCCCAGTTACTCCTGGGGGGCCCAAAGCAGCTGCCCTGTGGGCCCACAACAATTTGGTGGGGCCTATCAGGTGGCCCATGCATTTAGGGCCACCCGATGGGTGTCTCTGAACAGGCACCCGGTGGGGTGCCATGGCCCTTTAAGAGCAGACCGGGCCCCTGTAGTATTAGCTGGATGGGAGGAAGTGACAGCCGATCACTTCCTTCCAGCTTCAGAAGAGAGCACCGCGGGAGGAAGGAGGCAGCAGCAGGTAGCAGCATGGGGGGGTGGGGAGAGGCAAGAATGAGCTTCTGCTCATTCCCACTCCCATCAGCCTCAGCCAGCTCTAAGCTGAGTTGAAGGTAAGTGTATCCAGTCCCTGATCCTTTCCTTCTGCGTGAATGGCTGCAGCTAGGATAGTTTTTAGAAAAACCACCCCACTCAATGCCCCTGCCCTGCTTTCCCCCACTTACTGCTTATCTTCTCTGTGCCCCCACTTACTGCTTATCTTCTCTGTGCCCCCACTCTCTGCCCCTGCCCTGCCTTCCCCCACTCACTTCTTCTCTTCTCTGTGCCCCCAATCTCTGGCCCTGCCCTGCCTTCCCCCACTCACTTCTTCTCTTCTCTGTGCCCCCACTCTCTGGCCCTGCCCTGCCTTCCCCACTTCTTATCTTCTCTGTGCCCCCACTCTCTGCCCCTGCCCTGCCTTCCTCTACTCACTCCTTCTCTTCTCTATGCCCCCACTCTCTGCCCCTGCCCTGCCTTCCCCCACTTACTTCTTCTCTTCTCTGTGCCCCCACTCTCTGCCCCTGCCCTGCCTTCCCCCACTCACTGCTCCTGCCTTCCTCCCTCACTGCTTTTTTTACCCTGTGCCCCCACTCACTGCCTTTCTACTATGTGCCCCCACTCACTGCTTTTTTTCTGTTTAGATTAGTTTAATTATTGCTGCAGTTGCATTTAAGCACAGGCGATGAGAGGATGAGAAACATAATTGGTGTGTATTTTTTTTGTATTTTATATTTAAATTCTTTTTTTTGTTGTGCAGTACCAGTTTGCCTTGCCACAGCAGCATCAGTATTTACAAGCTTTGTGCCTCCTCCAACTCTCTGCTCCTACCCTGCTGCAAACATAAAAATTATCACGTGTGTATCTGTGTGTATGTGTGTGTAACTGTGTCGGTGTGTATCTGAGTGTTTATGTGCCAGTGTGCATATCAGAATTTGTGTGCATGTGCCAGTGTGTGTATCTGTGTGTCAAGGTATGTGCATGGGTCAGTATGTTTATATGTGTGTTGATGTGTATGTAACTGTGTATGTGTATACACCCCAGCAATCAAAAACATGCAAACACATCCCTGATAACACAAACATTACAGACAAACACACCCCTGATTTCAAACTCAAAATTATATATAAAACACACCCTTTACCCAAACACCAATACTATACACAAATGTTTAGAAGACAACACTACATTCGATAACAACCCTGAAGGCAAATATTACATATATTACATACAAACAAAACCCAGTATTAAAATGCCAAAATGATATGCATACACCAACTCACAGTTGCACACCTGCATTTAAAAGTCAACCATACATACAAACACACACCATTGCATTCAAATGCAAACACTACACACAAGTACACCTTTGCATTCCAATTGTAATAGTACATACAAATACACCTCTACATGCATACATATACTCTATACAAAAACAGGCTTACATTCAAATGCACAAACACTGCACACAAATACAACCCTACGTGGATGGGCAAAGTATAGATCCCCAGCTGGCATAGCATTGTGGGAGTTGTATGACAGATGGGGATGTATCTTTTCGCCACTCTTGTGCTAGAGGGGGAGGCCCAAACAACTTTCTTGTACCAGGGCTTCTCTGCATTAGTTCCGCCACTGGGTTGGAGTGTAAGGCATGATTGCATGCCAGGGAGTGGGAGGGCAGCAGGGTCCAGGGGGCCAAAGCAAATGCTTGCCCAGGGTCCAATCACTATTAAAGACGGCCCTGTACTTAATTTATTCTGACCCTCCTGGAATTCATCTTAAAACACAACTATATTCTGTTAAACAACATCTTCTACCACCAGGTAAGTGGCATTGCAATGGGGATGTCTTGTGCCTCATCCTATGTGGCATACACACAATCCATGGGGCCCTGGTGCGAAACTGATCCATGGTTGTCCCTCCACCCCCGACAGACACACACACAGATACATACATACAGAGACACATACATACAGAGACACATACATACACACAGAGACATATACATACACACATACACACAGACACATACATAGAGACACGCACACACATACATACACACAGACACATATATACAGACAGACAGACACATACATACAGACACACATACATGCACATACACACATACAGAGACAAACACATACATACAAACAGACAAGCACACAGACAGACACATACAGACACACACGCACATACACACAGGCACATACATAGAGACACACACACACATACATACAGACAGACAGACACATACATACAGACACACATACATACACATACATACAAACAGACAAGCACACATACAGACATACAGGCACATACATGCAAACACACACACACACAGACACACATTCAGAC